CTTTCATCTCATTGTCGCGTCATCGTTTTGCTTGATATTTGTCAAACTTCAAATATTTGCCTCTAGAAACACACACATATTACCACTAAATGTAAGCAACTCGCATATGTGTTGCGGAATAATCATTATACACAATTGGCAATTAGTCATAATTAGTGATCTTCTGACGATGCTGTACGTTTTTTATCGTGAGACTTCTCGTGCATTACGTCACCGATGGCAGTGCTAAAAATAGACATACAAGTGTTTCCGTGGAAACGCGGACAGGCTTCCATTAACAAGCCGTGTCGTCACCATAATCCGGCAATTTCATTGGTCAGTTGATTAATTGGATCGACGTCACGCAGGCTATACATCGTCCTTTCACAACATTCCGCCATTAGATTTTATGACCAGAACAGAAGCCGTCCAATTTTCGACGAAATTTGTACCTCTAGCTGGAATTCAGCTAAGATTTTCTTCTCGCTATTACTGTTTGTGCTCATCTACCTATTAGGACAAACACTGGGCTATTCTAAAACGGAAAAAAGACGACAATATCTTGTTGTGAAACAAACGAAGCGCCAAATCCTTTGTTCGCCACCAACAACACAGCAGCCTTGACTAAAAAAGCAGCATCCTGTTTATTGAGTGACATTGGATTTTCAGTTGGTAAATATCAACAACCTGAAATTGAATCGTCTGGACTATAATTGTTCAAATGACCGATAACCTGGCAAGATGAAAGACGAAATAGCAGCGGCGGTGGTGTTTTTGACGACAATGGTGAAGAAAAACCAAAACCTGAACAAAGAGCAGGTCGACAACTTCTCGGATAAGTTGACAGCTGAGCTTGTCGAGAAATTCAAAAATCACTGGTATATTGATAATCCCGTAAAGGGCCAGGGCTACAGATGTATTAGGATTAACGAAATCCACCCAGTTGAGCCGTCGTTAAACAGAGCGGCGAAAGAGTGTGGCCTGAAATACGACGACCTGAAACTCCCGCTCGAGCTTACGGTTTGGGTGGACCCAACGGAGGTGACGTGTAGGTGAGTCATTTTCTCGCTAAAACAGTTTTAACACATTTACAAAACATGTATTAATTCTCAATATCGAACCATTTTAATTAATGGAAGTAACGATGTATGGATTCAGTTGGAAATTCGTTGCTGATGTTGTTGTTTTTCCATCGAGTCTGGGACACGATATCGTTGCCCATTGTAAACATCATCGCTATAAAAAATATGCGCAATAACCTTCACGTATTGCAACGTTGAAATTGAGACAAACTCCTCACGCGGAAGCCTGTCACGTCTTGTTCCCGGATGTAATTGTTTCACTCCACAAGCTCATAGAAAATTCATTTCTCGTGATTCTTACGCGCTTTTGTTTGGGTATGAAACGGTATTTCCCCAGTTTCACTTCCCCCATTGACTACAAAAAGCGCAATTATTTTTTAATACGATTACTACAAGTATTACCACTACTAAGCCTAGGTCGATGTACCCTCACCAAATAAAGCATGTACATTCAGTCATATGCTGCCTTAAACAATGAATACACACCTAAATAATTTTTTTTTATTATATTTAAATAGATTTGGAGAACTTAATGGTACGTGGTGTACAGTGGCTTCTTTCAACGAGGACAACAAGGAAAGCGAAAATGGAAACAAGAGTTCACGCCACAGCTCATCCAAATCCAGCAAAAAGAGTCACAGCAAAAAACAAGCCAAAAAGTATTCACAATGGTATTCTAGTAATCAACTAAATGAGAACGATATTATTCCTGGTACAGGTCATTACCATTATATGGGCAATGCAGTCAACATACCAACTGTATATTAGCCGAAGAATGAATTATTCCGGAATTTCTAAACACCTTGAAATGCCTAATTTAGCCTGTTTGTCAGTTTTATTTTGCTTTCCCAAAGGCATAAGGCTATCAATTCTTGCCCTAGACTGATCATTTTCAAAAAGTTCAAGCCCAACTGGGCAACTAGAAATTAAAAAGGTATTAATAATTTCCACATGGGTGTCCTATTCAATAATAGGCAAGTCAATTTTGATGTGTTTTTAGCATGGTTCCTTTAAATAACAGAAAAACGATGAGACTAAATATTTATTCCTGCCCAAAATAGTGAAATAAACCAGCTGGTTGAAAATAGAGCCTCCATATTATATTTAATCAGACAAAGGATATGAATGCTGGGACATATGTGACCCACATGTACTTCCTATGTCCTTGTACTCTGGCTGATATGTCTAGAGCTTATTGAAATGAGTGCATTTAGCCAGTGTCAAATCATATTCTGACAAGTACATTATAAATAATATTTCGATGATACAAGTCAAGGTTTATCTCGTGTACTAGACTGACAAACAGGCTAAAAGATTTTTTAAATATTCACATTTCTATTTGACCAAACTTCATTGCCATTTTAGCCAATTTCAGTATTTCTTGCAATAACTGGTGAACAAAATATCTTTATTTAGTGCCATGAAAGTTATTTTTATCTTAGCTACAAGGTTTTTTTGGATAAATTGTATTTATTAAAAGCATTCTTGCGAGTCAAACTGCTTGGTTTCACCTGTTACTGCAAGCATACTGTTTGCTATTTTTACGCAACAAGAATACATTGTGGCATTTGTTGGCCAAAATTGCGACTTTTATCACTTTTTTTCCCAAATCATTTTTGCTGCCAATCATTAAATTTTATTAAATATAAAATCAATTATTTTATTATAGATAAATGGTATTAGAGGTAGTTTTAATAAATATATTATAAAAATTTTCTCCCTTTGTCAGGAGTTTTAATGTTTGTATCTTCCAAGTTGGGACCAAATTTTCAAACAGACTTTCAAGTTTTTAATATAGAGAGTTCCATATAGATTGGTTGTTCAAGACTGATAGGCGCAATGATATTAATGACACATTGCTAAGATATAATTCCTCTAAGCCAAGCTGAAACTGAGTTTCATGTTTCCTTCCTTTCCATAAACAACCTTGTATAAAGTATTTTTCTCAGGATTCGCTGAAATATTTCTTGTGGAAATGTGGGCACTTT